ATATGGCTCAAAGAAATCACAAAGGCAATTAGAATATATTTTTATTTCATTATTATTATTTTTAAATCCTCACCTGAGGTTATTTTTTTCCATTGATTTTCAGACAGATTGGAATGGAGAGAGGAAGGGAGAGAAAGAGAGATCAATGTGAGAGAGACATATTGATTGGTTGCCTCCTGCACGTGCTCTGACTAGAGCTGGGGAACCTGCAGCCGAGGTATGTACCCTTGACTGGGAATTGAACCTGTGACCCTAGAGTGTGCGAATTCATGCTCTAACCACTGAACAACCAACCAGGTCTAGAATATATTTTTAAAAGTGTGCAGATGAAAACATGAAAATATATGCGAATCAGCTACAACAGTGTTTTGAGAAAAATGTATATCTTTAAATATTTATATTAGAGGGAAAGAATAATAAATTATTTGGAATGTAACTCTAGGGAACTAAAATATAACTCTAAATTAAAACCAAAATAAATGGAAGGAACAAATTATAAAGATAAAAGCAGAAATTGATGAGGTAGAAACTAGAGAATGAAAATAAAAGCTGATGCTTTCCAAAAAAAGCAATATACTTGATTTGGTGTACCTCTTATTGTACTCATGAAGGAAAAATGAGAGAAAAAACTAATTACTATTCTCAGGAATGGAAGCAGGCATATTCCCACACACCCTATAAATGTAAATTTATGGAATATTAAAAACTTTATGTAAATTAATTTGACAATTTAGATAAAACTGACAACTTTCTTAAGACACAAATTATCACAACTGATAAGATAAAATTTGAATTGTTTATATTTAGTTAATAAATTAAATTTGTAATTAAACTATTTTTCACAGAGAAACTCCAAATCTATGTCTCTTCACTACTGATTTTATCAAACATATAAGGAAAAAAATAATGCCAATTATACATGAATCTTCTCATGCTTCTTGAAGAATGTAGGTTAAAAGGAGCCATTTCAAAATAGCCAGAATATTCTATTTTTCTTAAGAAGGTTTGCCCTTACAAAGTGGATTAAAAAAAATCAAAGGACAGCCACATATTTGATTAAAAGAAACAGTATTTTAAAAAGCTAACAAAATAATATTTAAAGTTGGAATACATGAGTCAATGTAAAATATAGCACTGTAGCCTATGGTCAAGTTGTTCATATGGAGTTTCCTCAAAAAACTAAAAATGAAACTCCCATTTGACCCAGTGATCTCAATTCTGGGAATATATCCCAAGAAACTAACTAGAAACACCAATCCGAAAGGATATATGCGCCCCTATGTTCATAGCAGCACAATTCACCATAGCTAAGATCTGGAAACAGCCTAAGTGCCCATCAGTAGATGAATGG